GGGGGGGGGGGGGGAAGTCTGAAATCATTCTGTTCTCTCTGCGGGATGATCTAATCCGCGCTTGTCCTGCATGATCTTAGTCCAGCAAACTTTTGTTTTGCCTGCAGCTTCCAATGTCATTGTGGGCATAGAGTAGATTGTTCTGGTGGAGGAAGAATTGGCTTTTTGCAGACAGTTAACTTAGTTACAAGCTAGAACAAATACTTAACCCACACAGAGAAAATACTGTATTTGTTCAGCAAATCTAGTTACATTTATAAGTAGTTTGCAACCCTTAATGGGAGTTGGGGGGGAAAAAAAGGGTTCTTACAGTGGCGGTATGATCAAACGAAGGAGCTCGGTGCTGTCCACTGGTTCTGTGTACGGGGCGAATTGATAGTTGGCAGTTCTGGTTGTTCCTAGGCCTGATAGCAAGGGCCAGGGTAACGCCGAATGGTGCCGTCTAGCATCCTGGTGAAGTCCTTCAGGCAAACTCGGAGCCTTTCGAAAGCAACCGCTTGGCTAAAAATGATGCAACAGCTGAATTAATTAAGCTAAATAGCAGTTAAAAGGATTTAATGTGGCTGATGCTTTAAAATGTCTGTTGTCAAATTAGTCCTTGAACAGCTCAAGTACAAAGGCTTATCTAAAGGCCTTTGAGGACTAAACTAGCAGAAAGGAGAATAAAGAAATTGCCCGAATGAGGCATGGGAGAGTTCTGCAGCTGAAATAAGCCTATGTGGAAATGATGGCAGGAGCACAAGTACTGAGCTGCTCCCTTGGCAGACTTGACCTAAGCACCTACAAAAAAAGCAGGCTGGAGATTTTTTTTTTTTTTTTGGTAGTTTCTAATTATGGGGTGTGGTGGCTGCACTTACATTACAGGCTGAAACGGCGCGGGGGGTGTGCGTGCCTGCAGAGAGCGGGGGAACGGCAGCTGAGCTGCTGCTGCTGCGGCTGCTGCTGCTGCACAGGGGGGCTCGCTAAAAACAGTTTCCTTCTTTATTTATCTTAAAGGGCCTCTCACCAAATGACTGCACCGCTTTAATTAACGACATGGATTGCAAGTTGAAGCTAAACTGACAGGAGAGCCAACAGCTTCTAGCAGAAGTGTTTAGATTGTACAGTAGTCAGTAAAAATGGAGCTAGGCTCTGGCCAGATCCAGCACGGCGCGGAGACGCCTGCGCCCTGGCTGCAGGTCAGCGCGCCGCGCCTGTTGCGATGGCCGTTACCGCAGGGGAAGAAGCAAAGAGTAACCCGACGAGGTGGACGAGACGACGCCAAATGCTTTTATAGGCACAGAATTATTAATGCTGCTGTTTGTCACTTCTTTCTTGTATTTTTTAATTCTGCTGTTTTGTGAAGCCTAGCAACCATTACAAAATGTGCATGGACGCAATCCACGTCTAAAATGGTATGTTTGCTTGGGTTTTTTAAATGTTCAGTGCAGCAGCATGTTCTTGACCACTTTTGTTGCTTTTTTTGCTAACGGTATTGGGTGTACTTGCTTCCCTGCTTGTTCTAGACAAGAGGTTCTGCCTTGCCTTGCCCTTGTAATTACCTTGTACCCTGTGTTAGGATGAGCGTGCTTACAGAAATCTCCGGCCATTTTGTTGATAAATCCCAAGTGCTCTCCAAAGTTAGAGCTGAAGGAATTGGGTTTTTTGTCGCACGCGGCTTCCCGAATGCCAGTGTTAAAATCTGAAGACTACTAAACTGAATCTACGTTGAGACAATAAATATTCATTTGCTGCAGACGTGCCTCTTCAACAGCAAGGATGGGGTGGTGCTGAAGCATCGCTTCGCTCTGACTCCTTCCTCCCATGTCATTAAAAACCCATCTACACATCTTCAGTAAAACACAAGCCCACACTATCAGTTTGACAGTTGAAAGACTACCTCCGAGGTCGTTAACAGAGTATGTACGTCGTAGGGAGCAATACGAATTCCTCTTCAACTCCTTCTATAGTACCATGCGAACAGCGACAGTGCCTTTGTTTGCAGTAGACTTTTATTAACTGTTTCAATTTGGTTTCACATTCTATTCGTAAAGCAGCAAGCATCACTTTTGGCATGCAGAGATTCCCTGTACAGCTAACCAAGGACCAAGCAGCTGGACTTTTAAAATATGGTTCACATGATTTAATTTTATACACCTCTGAAGAGATTACTCAAGTTAGAAATACTTAATTTAAAATGACTATTGTACAATGGAAATCACTTATTCACAATATTCATAGTTATTTCTTTATTTACAAAATACTATCCTGAGAATTTTCTATTAAGCTTCAATTTGAGCAAAGTAGTTTATATATACCTAAGTAACAACGGTTACTTAACGCAAGGAAAAATGCCATCAGAAGAGTACAGAAACGGTTCTGCACGTTACTCAAATGACTCGGTCAAGTCTCTTGCTGGGGTTCTGGTTGCTCTACAGCTGATGGATTTGGCTGAGGTGGCTCGACTCTGTTTTCAGGAGGTGGCGGTGGAGGCAAAAATCCCGGTCGCTGAGGTGGATAGTGAGGATAAGATCTCATTGGAAATGGATTTCTTACTGCGAGAGAATCAGAGCAGTGCAGTTAAAATATCGATCACAACCGCACACGCACACCTGCTCCTCCTGCCCCACCTACACAGACAACAGGAAGCAGAGCTAGGTTAGGGGCTATGCTCCAGAGACACAGACACTAGGAAGGGGGAAGACAAAACGATCCCTTTTTTCAGTAGTTACCTGCAACTGGCTCACAGCAGCCACCAGTCAGTGCCTGGTAATGGGCTGCTGCTGCCACCATCACCTTTGGTCTGCTGCAGCAGCCCCCGCCTGCCATACCTTACAGGGACCTTACAGGGACCTGGGAAGATAACTGTTCAGTTCTTCACAGGTTAATCAGAGAACAGCAGGAGGCAGAAAGAAGCCCTTCAGTCTCATACTTGTATCTTGCTCCACTAATGCAAACTCCAAGGAAAAACCATTAACAAGTACGTCCCAAATGCATGTCTTTGTATGGACACCAGCATCCCTCAAAGCTAAAGGATGAAACTCTAAGATTTATGTATGATGCAACCTCGTAGGAGGAAAAGGATTAAGGTAAGCATCTACTTGCTTTCCTACCCAAAAAAAGAACCCTTTAAATGCTGAACAGTGTGTGTGTGTCTATTTTCCAGCCAAAGCTAGTATTTGTAAAAACGTTATCAATACAAGCAACCGTGAGGAAGAAAGCGTACGACGCAGTTCGCCTTCATCAGAAACAATCTTCCCGGTTAGCTGAATTAAGTCGTCGTATGTGCAAATAAAGATCTTGGTGTTCACCCAGTGTGGTAATCACTACCTGCACAAAGCACTCGTGTTCATCACCCTGAAGGAAACGCTGACAAAAGCTACGTACTTGGCAGTGGAGGGCGTGGAGGCCCAAAGTCTCGGACTGGAAAACATTCGCGTGGTCCATACATGCCAACAGGAGGAGGGGGAGGAAAAGGAGGTCCTCGTCTCATGAAAGGTGCTCTAGGGTCCACAGGCATCAACGGGGGTCTGACTGGAGGGAAAGGTGGAGGAGCAAACCCTGAACTGATGGCTTCGCTTTCAGATGCCAGCGACTGATCAGGCAGTGAGTTCTGCAACACAATGAAAACAGGCGAGTTACCTTAGAGTAAGGGATAAGGAGACATTCCAATCAAGAACATCTCCAATCCCACCAGGCCCACTTTGCTGCAGACTGTCACACCAGCTAACAGCTAGTTCCAACTCTGCCTTAGCTATGGCATAATCCTGAGCAAGGCTATCGATGTTCACTGGCCATCAGCCTGACCACAGTTGCATCTTTTGGGTTATAATTAATTTTCAACAGGGACTACAGGAGTCACGCATCAGAATTAGTTCACAAGACAGTAAGCGCTGTGATACAAGTACACATACAATTTTATAGTGTGGACTGCACAGTGCGATATGTGACCAACATACTAGGGACAAATTTTCCTAAATATTTTGCAGAAAATTAAAGCACATTTCAATCAAGTGTCTGTGTAGCTACTTACGCTAACATTAGAATGATCTTTCATCCCATTTCCACTTGGTTCTGTTTGTGGGCTATTTTCTGAAGATGTTTGTCCATCTGTATCCAAAAGATAAACAAGTTATTCAGTGCTGACCTCCTTCTCCCCACCACCGATTTCAGTATTTTTTTTCTGCAATCAGAATATATAGGGCAAGGAAAAAAAAAAAAAAAAAAAAAAAAAAAAAAAAAAAAAAAAAAAAAAAAAAAAAAAGAAGTATCACTGCATCAAGCACCAGTTCTGCAAGCAGACTGAAAGACAACTGAGGAACACAAAGCTATGCCCGAGTATTTTCTCCAACTTCTGTACAGGTTGGACATGAATTACAAGGTTGCAGCTTTTACCAAAGTTTCTTGTATCAAGATAAGGCTTTTTCTTCCGTATTTCTACTTTTTTCAGAAGTTAAAAGTGCGTTTTCCTAGTGATACATCTTAACGTTACTGTAGTAGTTCCGTTTTTCCCCTCCCTCCTGTTAATACTTTATTTCTTTGGTAAGTCCCACTCTGGGAATGACTGCACTGTGATATGCTCTTGCCATAGAGCTCGACAGCAATCCTATTCAAGTTTGACAAAAACTGATTCCTTCCATAGTTGCTACACATCAAGGAGACTTTCAGAACTTACATCAGTTCTGGATGAGCCAGAAATAAGAATAATGATCCTCATATTTGCTGTGCTTACTTTATAAAGAGATAAATAGGATCTTCAGTGTTTTTACCTTTATATTTCCCTGAGAACAAGTATTTTCAGTAACAACTGGAGAAAAATATTAAAAGGAATTGTCAGAAGAGAATCTGACAGGATATAAATATACAAAATATATACACTAAATGTACTCCTTTCTTAAAAAACCAAAAAAGCACAAAAACCCAACAAAAACCACAACACACACACACAAAACAACCAAAAAGGTCAAAGCAAACCTGAGATTTGAAAAATACTGCTTTCTTACACTTCTGCCTGAATGAAGATGATAATATTAAAAAGCACAAGACCAAAACAGTACTTCTAACAAGTGACAGATTTTTCATCTACATGTTGTACTACTTCTCCTCTGAAGCAAACAAAGCTATTTTCTCAATGAACAGATAGGTCTTCTCAAAAAAATCTAAAATTACATGACATTTCAAGCAGGCCCTGCTTTCGCTGACCTTCACAGAATATCATGCCTTGATACATACATTGCATAATGTTTTCCACTTCAAATCCTTATAGAGTTGCTCAGAAACTCTATCAAGCTTTAACCCTTCTTTCTGACAAGAAGTTTCCTGCTCCAGGTATCTGCCTCAAGTTTAAAGTTTTTGTAGCTTTAGCCACCTCAGCTTAGGAAAACGCATATTATTTTGTTCACTTTAAATAACATTTTGATCATCTTGCTGAGAAAGTGTAGCTCATTCACTCTTTAGAGTTGGAGCCTTGATTTCAGTACTGTGAGACAGGTTGCTGTTGTGAAGTCAGATGGTATGTGCTGGATGGGGTGGGTTGGTTTTTTTTTTTAATTTGTTGTGGTTTTGTTGCTATTTTTACAAATATTCACCCAAGTCTAGTGAAATTATATGCCTCTAAAAAGCAACACTCACATATGCTTAATAACCTGCTAAATGCTGGCAGCAAGGTTATCCAAAACCCTGTTTCCATTAAGTAGGTTTTGAACTGCCCAAGAACTGAATACAGCTTCTTAATTTTTTTTATTGTTGTTTGCCAGCAGCTGAAGAAAAGGGTAAAAATGGATACAAGAAATGAGTGCAAAGACAGTGCACTTCTCCTGTCCTTCAGTCTTTTAGCACCTGGATGCTGAAAGACCTCAGTGGAATACAAACTAGTAGAAAGTAGAAGTGAAATGCAGAGAGGCTTGGGAAAGGGGGTAGGAAGGTGAGCGGCTGTACAGGAACAGAGTTGTCTTCCAGTAGAGAACAGTTCCCTGTAAAACCGGAAACAGAATGCAGCATTCGCAGTTCTCACATTAGGACACCAAGTAACAAAGGTTCTCTCTCCTATCACCAGAAACTGGGCAACAAAGATGGCAACTTACTACTAATCATATGGGTAACTGAATACCAGGTGGCAAAAGTTTCTGTTGTGAGTTTAATGGCTTCAACCTAGCCGATGACTCAGACACATGTGACTTACGAGGCATTAAATAAGGATGAAAACTGTTTAATAAGTATTAAGGCTTTAAGCTCTTAAACTGTTTCAGTGATAAGGTTTAAGTCACCAAAACTTTGCCTCTGAGCTTCTGGCTGTTGCTAAGCATCACAAACTAGAATTTACATAATTGGCCAATTTAAAACAAATGGTACTTGGGTCCGTAAAATATGTGATTAAGTTGGGGGCAACTGCACTATGAACTACAAAAAGCTTCAAGTACCGTAAACAGTTTGACTGAGGAGGCCTCAGGACCTTTTAGTTCAGTACGCAAAGACAGTGGATAATTTGAAAATTTTGCTGTTATTCTTTCAGTCTTACTGACTATTTCTAACTTTACCAAATGTGACATGGAAATGCAAGTAAAGGTGTTTGATATTTTAATGCTGTGGTGAGCCTCCTGGGAGGGGCCAAACCAGACTCAAGGCCAAGCCTGAATAGTTAACACAGGGAACAGTGAAGGTGGACAAAATACCTCATGACTACCATTCACTGAATCCCATCCACCTGACAGAAGAGACTGCTATTGTTGGTAACAGGGAAAGACTGCATCAAGGCTAGCAAGTATTAAAATGTTTTTTCCACAGTGGAACATCGGGTCTGTGGTAGCTATAAAGTTGTCCTCTTACCATGGCTTACTACATATAGTCAACTTATACTGAGATTCTCCATTTGGTATTATCGAGTATATTAGATATTAGAAGTAATTCCCACCTGGTTTATCAAAAGACTGCATGTTGTAAGTTCGTAGTTCTGCTGGTCCAGAGAGTCTTCCAGTATTTGGAGGATTGGGGAAAAATCTTTCTTGTCTTCGAGGAGGAAGAACTGGATCAGTGTAAGGCTCAACTAACATTGAAGAAATCACAGAACAGGTCAGTGAATATTTATTCCCCCTATTCCATACAATTTTAGACCAGCAAAATTCTCCGAATATCTTATGTCTTGTAAATATCCAAAGTGACTATTAGTCAGGGTGAGCACACAATCTTAAAAAACCCCAAACATAGGAATCCCACCAAGTATGTACTACAGCTTACGTTTCTAAGAAGCTGCAAAAGATAAAAGTTCATTGATTTTTGGTTTAACATACAGTAGAATTTTGGAAGTTATGATTTCCTAAGTTATAAACAGTGGGGCCTTGAAACAAAGGTTCAGCATAGCAATGAAGGTCAAAGGCAAAGCCAGTTACTATACATTTTAAGCCACGCTTAGATAAAAGTGCTGTTTCCCATTGTGTTTCATAGTGCTGTAATGGGTTTCCACCAACTTCCTTGCATCAGATCTAGCAACCATGCAGCTACAAGACAATCTGCATCAGTGAGATCCAAGTGCAAAGACGGGGTAAGAACACAGCTCGGGTCAAGGAAACAAGACTACCCCTCTGCAGCACCCTGTCAATAGACTGGATTTGGCAAATGAGAAACTGCATCCTGAGTGGACTTTGAGTTTTATAATCGGGCTTTCACACCGATATGTAGCAACTACAATATTGCTTGCTGTATCTAATAATTGAGGTGCTTTAATCTGTGTAGTTTACCTAATTTATTTTTTTTTAACTTGTAGGAGTTTTGCTTCTTTATTACAGGTATACGGGAAGGTTGTCCTTCCCCCTGCATTGTTTACTTTAGAAATATCAATAGTATCCTCTTTGATTCATCTCTGTCTTCCTTGACTAATAGTGTGCAATACAGATGTTTAGCTGAAGAAGTAAGAGTGAAGACTGATTTTTGTTGTTAATTATCAAAGAAGCAGTATCAACATCAAAATACGTACCAAACAGGATGACTGTACCATGGTACTCCTGTGCTATTCGTGTATTTTTAAAAAAAACACCACACAGTATTTTTCAACATTAGCTAGCTTCTATTTATTTTTTTATTTAAGGCTAATGTACCATTAAAACTTTTTACTTTCTCAGATCTCCTGTTAATTGTCCAGCCTAGACAGGTCTTTTGATGCACTAAAAAAGCCCCCACTAAAATGATGAAACTGAACAGTTGATTGTACACTGCTAGGACCAATATACATTTAAAAGACAGCATAGGAGAACTGCAAGTGAACCGCACCATTCAAGAACGGGAAAAACCCTACTATTAAAAAACAAACAAACAAACAAACAACAACCACCAACTTTTCAGTGCAGTTGCATACATATGCAGCTCCAAGAAAATATTTCATATTTTTAAGAAAAAATACTTAAATATATACACAAGTCAGTAACTCCATTTTTCCATAGATACAGTAGCTAAGCAGATTTTTATACCTGGTGGAGGCAGAATTATCCTGCGTTCCCTGTCCCAAGGAGGGGACAGGGATCCAGTATCTGATGGCGGTCTGTGGGGATCAGTTAATCTATCAGAACTCGGCTCTCCTCTTTCATTACCAGCTTCATACATGGCAGTTGGTCCTCTGGATCCTAATTGAAGAAATCAGATAGCTATTTACCCAGGTATTTTAAATCCTCTATTACGGCTTTCTTCATTAAGTCTGAAAATAGTAAAATAAATCATGGAATGCCAACACTGTCAAGATATGAGAGGTGCATGGCTCCACAGGACTCTCCAGCTGTTTGCTGATGACCAGTTATGTTTACTAGAAGTATTTAAAAGGTTTATTTAGAATGAAAAAGTCTTAGTTCAACAAGAGTGCAATCTAGAGTACCTGCAATTTAAAAAAAAAAAAAAATCATTTTAAAGAGTTTCAGTTCATTTGAATCGGAGAAACTTGCGCCCTCACAATAAATCTTCTCAGTGCTAAAAAACCTGCTGCTAATCAAACTAAACATTAGCACACTGAAAGTTAATGCCCTCATTGTAAGAAAATATCCACATTACATTCAATGCTCTTCTGGTTCTTTCTAACTCTTTATTCAAGAAAAAAAATAAGAGAAGACCAGGTCAACACATAACCAAGTGCAAGAGAAACTGTAACAATGAGTGATTTTGGGTTGCAAGCTTCCTTTAAAATAGATTTGGTCTGAAAAATCACAGAAATACTGAATTCTGGTATCATTCTCTAATACTCTATCCTAAAATTCAACCTAAAACCTGAAGCCATTTCATGTCTTGTGCAAAGTAAGATGAGCACTATAATTGCACTGTAGCTGGCATTACTTAAACATTAAACATTACTTTATCTGCCCAAGTTACATTAGTGTTCCATTGTGAAATTGGCAGTAGTCATGCCTTTGCATAGTCTCTTTCCTTGCTAATACTGCATCCTGAAATCTAATTTTTACTCTTCCTCAACAGCAACAGCTGAGCTACAATTTAAAGATACATTGGACAGCTCAGTTTTATTACTTACTGTCTCTATACAAATAGTCAAGTATGATTTTGCTTGTACGTGGTATAGCTACAGTTGAACATTCAATCTCAAGCTTTTTTCTGACTTAGAAAATGAATCAACTTTCATATGCACCTGGATATGCTTTTTACAAAGAACTGAAGTAAATAAATAGTCCATGCTGGTGTTTTAAAAATGTTGATTAGTGAAATCCTTATAAGAAGAGACATTAAGATGTACTTCCCATGAAATAAGTACAGGTTTCAACGGGTGTAATAGTAGTAGTAAATTAAATAGTAGCTTCTATATTACCTGTAAAAGATGCTGAACTCCACTCTAGTATTTCTCTACGCTATTTCCATCAACATCAAAAATATGAAGGAACAGTATTTTTCTCCCCTTACAACCCATGACACCATGGCTTGCTTTCACCTACTCCTCAGTCTCTGCATTTTACTCCTTACACACAACCTTCCTGGTCCCTTTTATCATGAGGGAAGAAACTGTCTCCACATATAATGACTGCCTCCGATTTAGAACAAAGGGAGGAAAACAATTTACTGGATCAGTAACTTTCTGGTATCATGACCCCCAATAAAACTGTCTCGTGTTTTTGACAATGCAGGTACCCCTTCCTTCTCTCACTGACTGTAGACCAATGAGATGGAAGTGGCAGCATTTTTTCTTCAGAAAACTAATCACTTTTGTTTACTTTAAAATCGTAAGTTTCTTTCAGCAGAACCCCATTTGTCCGAGAAAAAAAACAAGACTGATAAAGTTTGGCTTTTCACTTTTCTCAATCTATGCTTCTAAAGTGAATCCTCTGACCAACGCACTAATACCAACTACATTTTCCATTGTACTGTTACACATTAGACAGCTTTAGAAGCAAGCTGAAAAACAGGAAGAGTTTGTCCAATTAACTGTTTATATTGAATTGGTTGTTTTAATACTTTTTGTCACCAGCAAGAGGAAAAGGTGTGACAGGTTTATAGTAGAGGAGAGAGAAATCCAGAATAAATATATTTTCAAGTTTAAGAATTGTACCTCTTCCTCCTCCTCCACCTGGAAGCATAGGTGAAAGCCTTAAAGGACCCTCCAATAAAGTTGGAGGGGAAAGAAAAGCTCTTGTTTCAGATGAAGGCCGGCCCATTGGTGAGGGTCCATATGGGGAATGCTCTGGAACAGTTAAAACAAAATACTCAAGTTCACAATATTTAGTTTAGCAAACTGTATAAAGTAATTAACTTCTCAGGTGAAGTTTAAAACTAAATTGTATATGTGAAATGAAAGTTGTGCTCTAATTACCATGTGTATCATATTCCCAGTCTACTCTCATCGATACTACAAATGTTCTTAGTTTCAACAAAATACTCGACGTGACCTAGAGTCACTTATGACCCAATTATTTTTTTTAAATTACTGTTATTTGTACATACACATGGCCAAGATAGTTCTCAAACAATTACATATGTGTGGTCTTGGAAAACAAAACCATAAACCAAAACAATTAGGCTCTATTTTACAATTCAATACTGTACCTCTGCCAAATGGTCTAACTGGAACATCAAGCGCATAAGGATCTTTTTCTAAAAGGTCAAGTTTAAATTCTGTTTCAGTTAATCTGCAAATAGACAACAAAAAAGTAGTAAATAACAAATAAGTGCAAAAGTTTTACTGGACTGCACTGTTTACTGCTAGGCTTTCTACTTAAAGGGTTAATGAAGCAAGGTATTTTATTCCCTAAATAAAAAGAAAAAAGACAAAGGATGTCACAGAACTCTGAACTTAAGAATTCCTGAAAGTATTTCTCTATGCTGCTGTAATTAAACTGTAATTCAGAAGCTGAAGTGGCACGTTAGATGTCACAATTCCTAGCATGACACTACTCTCATGAGTACTCTAAACTGCATTCCAAAGATTAGTTAACTTCACAGCTGAAGGTTCCTCACAACCACCACCACCTGATCTGTTAGCTCAGTATTAATTTCTGAGATAAGCTGTAAAATCATAAGGTAACCATGACTTCTGGTTGATACATACCTAATTAAAGCAAACGAACAGAAAACAAACCCCCAAAACCTTTGAGTTCTAGTACTACATTCTGCTTCTTTCTTGAAACATTTCAACACTTTACATAGTTCTTAAATTTTTACTTCCTTGCATGTTATCATTACAGGAATGCTCAAATAACTCCCTTTCTGTCAGAACTCCAATGGAACACTGTGCTCCCTCTGCCCTGTTTGGTCCACAATGGATTAACGCAGGTCTAGAAAACACCAAATTGCATAAATCCAAAACATACTCACATGCCAAATTGCATTTGTTTAGAATTAGATCAGGACTGCACTTACTTTTGTCTGTTATGAGCGTTTTCTTTTTTTATATCATTGAGATGTCTTTCAGCTGCTCGGGCTGTCAGCTTTGGGGAGGGACAAAAATCAGATGTTTAGATATTGCTATTTATTAATTAAATGCTTCATATATGTCACAGGTCCCAGATCCAAGACATTCTTTTTTCCATCTTAAGCGTGCGGACTGTATTTTCACAAGATATGACTTGTGTATAAAGCATATGAAACAGATCCTCACATATGTCACCAAATTACATGAGCAGCTCTACTACCCAAATTTTTGAGGAATGATATGGCTTTCCTGCAGGTTCTTAAAACTGCAGAAATGAAATTCTTTGGCTATAGCTGCTTTGAAGCATCTACAGAATATGTACAAGAGTTAAAGTCTCGAATTTCATATAAGAAAATTCTATTTTAAAATCTTATAGTTAAAAACTGTAAAATTATGACCACGAAGCACCATAGCTTTTAACATGATTCTATCTTATACAGACCATTCTGTGAAACTGAAGAATGTATTAGTCAGGAGATATTTTAAAGATTCCTGTTTAGAAAAAAAGGTAAAAATGGATTTGGTAGAAGCATTCTTAGGAAGCTGTCAATGGAACATACTGTTCTCACAGGACATAACGTCTTCTATTAGTAGATAAAAGGAGTGAAGTACATCCAGGGAAAATATTAAAATGGCACTGAAACAAGGCCAAAAGCTTTTATTATTAGCAAAATGTCACACACTTGTTAAATAGTAACATGTTATTCCAGCAGATGTACTGCTATAGCAAATAACATTATAATATGGTTCTACTGTGCTCATAGGTATCTGTCTTAATTATTCCAACTATTTTATATGATAGCAGTATTTTTAACGTGTTTTTGTGTATTTCTGCAAGAAATCCGCATGTTTAAAGGTGACAGGTTAGAGTTAATTTTTATTATCTGTTTTTAATAAGAAACAGAAAAGTGATAAAGCAAGCTATTCAAATAACTGAAAAGGAAGACGCACAGAGTTCAGAAAATTCAATATTTGGAACTTACCCAATTATCATGAGCTTTTTTCTCATGTGAAGTAATCTGTGAAAGAGAGATTCATTAGATCATTATACATGTAAAAAAAAGAAAACTTAAGATTGAGTATATGCTCTTATTCATAAATTTGTCTGTGGATAATTTATAACGAGGCTTCTAAACTTAAAATTTAACTTTTTAATAAAGTTATCTGGTGATCTGTGCTATGAAATTGTGTCAGTCAAAACCAGATGGCATTTAGAAAGGCAGGGGGGAACGCAAAAAGAACACCCAACAAAACCAAGCCAAATACAGTACCACAACCTAGCTGAAAGTGGTATTTCAGTTGCAATAACATCCCTCCTACTTGGCATAGATGGCAAGTAACACAAAGCACATACCTGATTCTGATAAGAACGAATGGTTCTTTCTAGCTCTTCTTCAAGATCTTTTGCTCGCTGTCTGTAACAAAATAAGGATTTATGACATTGTAATAAAATGTTGAGGAAAGTAATTTTAAATAGAGTAAACACAATGGTAAACACAAGGTATAATTAAAATTTTTTATCCAAAAGACAGTATTGTCACTTAGGCCCATGGGATACATAAAAATCACAGTAGCAGTGGAAATTCTAGGCCCTAGATTAGTGCAAACAGGATGGTAAACAAAAGAACAGAACCAAAAACCCCAACATCTCCCCAACTTTTCAGTGGTCTGTGATGTTTCCAATATAAAGGATATTCCTCCACCTGTGCCCTCACAGGCAGCCTCACCCAGCTCAGCAAATGTACCAATGTGGCTGGAGCATCATGCTGTCAGTCCTGAGGGACAGTCACTTGCACTGAAGTTATTTCAAGACCACAGAAAGCACGATGCCACCTTTGCTGCCAGCTGCCCTGTGCACAGCCTCTCTAGGTTCCATACTCTCTCAGTGGGTGGGACAAAGACACATTCATTGTTTAGGTATACTCCCTTTGCAATACTAATATTCTCTTTAAAATTAAGATGTCTACAAAGTTCATGGTCTGCGTAAATCAAGAAGGGCAAATTCTGTCTTCCTGTATGAATACTGAAGAATGTCTACAAGAACTTTACATTCTAGAGAAAGAATTTATCTAATTAACTCTTCAGGAAGCATTGTTGATCAGTATCGTTCTGTTAGAGTCAATACTCCCATAAACATTGAAGGAAGACGGGGAATATACATTACAGATTGAGGAATTATGCCATAGTTTGAGAAACCACAGGAAGAAACCAGAAGTACACCATTGGTGTAACGCAAAACAGAGCAAAGCAGTTATAAAACAACTACAGAAAATATTGCCACATCACAGTATTTTAGTAAAGAATTTCTAAACAACAGTACTATTTGACAAGCTTAGAAATACAGAAATAGAATACTATAACTATACAACATAAATATGTTAGGATCTATAGGAAAACTGAACATTGCATTTATTTCACTGCATTCTCTTAACTTCGTATTTTTATCTCTGTTCAGTAAAGGGAACTAATTAGAGACCCACTTCTACCATTCCATTAAAGCTAATATATGTCAATACAATTAGCATTCTAATGGAAGAAAAGTTGCCAGTGATCTTCCATACCCAAATTATTTAACAAAGCAAAAACTACCTTAGTGTGTATTATTACACACAAACTAGCATATAACAGACACACACACAGAACAAAGAAACTGGAAGAAAATACATTCACTTATGCTGGTGTTTTTATTAATTCTCTATTGCCTTTTGTTCACTTTGGAACAAGTGATTACAGCAACTAAAATCTGTAATTACCTGTAGCTGTTTAGTTCTTCAGCAGCGTGATTAATTTTTTCATCTACCTTCAAAAGCTTTTCTTCTTTCTGTAGGCGTTCTCTCTCTTCTACTGTCAGTTTCCTTTAAGCAAATTCAAAAAACTGTGGTTAGTTCTGTTTCAAGTCAACAATTTTGTAGTTGGTCTGTCAAGAAAAACTTCTGAAATTTTTTAGGCATGAAGAGTACATGATATTTATTCAGATAAAGTTTTATAGGCAACATATGAAGTGGCATAAATAGCACTAGTTTGTATTCATATTAGTTTATTCAGTTCATTAACTGCTCTATATGAAATGTCTCGATTACCACTATTCCTAAAAGGAATTTACAAGACAATCCATATTCCCGAAGAATATTTTTATTAGGAGCGGGGGGGAGGAAAGCAGCCACAATTCAGATCAAACAAACTAAAACCCAAACTACACTAACTTTCAGTGATTTGTTCTGGTACTTTTTTACATTTTAAAGTAATTTTCCAGAGAAGAAAAAGGTTGTTACTAGCAAAAATAGTTATTAAAAAAACATTTCTTTCCAGATCCCTCTTTTTTTACGCCTTATTGGGCATTACAAAAGAGAAAACACATATTCCAGACCACAGAATATGCACAAGGTAATTCTGCAGAACACTAATGGATACTACTGCTGCATACAGCCCCCAATGGATAAACTGGTCATTTTCCTGTAATCAGCAGTCCTTAGCTATCAAACTGTCTAAATCATGGATCTGTTGGACATGATTTAAACTTCTTTTCTGCTCAATCTTCATTTCCCACTTTCTATTTCCCTTGTTTGAACATGCCTAGCTTTTTAAAAGATGCCTTGTTAATACTAATAGCCTCTTTTATTCTGCTATCTCATCACGCCAGCTTCTCCCCACTCTGTTTTGGCTTTTCTAAAATCTTTGATAAGCAGCACACGTTTGCTGAGCTTCAATGTGGTATTTTTAAAGATCATCCACACAGTCTGCAAACGTTTTTCCTTTCTGACTGCCCATCATAGCTTCTTTTTAACAGGTTCCTTTCCACCCCACCCCACCACCCTCCTCTTTTTTTAAAATCAAATGTTAATGTAGTGGATTTCTGGGCTTTGTTGCATCTACAAGGATGCCAAATATCTATACAAATATGTATATTACAGAGCAGGTTATTGAAAGTAATTCTTTAAAAAGGTCCTGCATACTGCTCAGTACAGGATCAAGACTTGTGCTGCTTCTCTTGCTGCCTTCAAGATTATGTTTACTCCTTGAAGAAATAATTTCTGGCTAGTAAAACTGTAATTTTACCATTATGCCCTAGAATGATGACTCCTGCTCCCTCCCTGCCCCATCCACACACACACACTTCTGAAGGTTACTACATGCCCAATCCCATCCCAATCAACTTTATTTCTAGCCTGTAGCACAGTTCTGATTTCAATCAGTAAGTCACAATCCCTACTATCACCCCGACTGTGAGGCTGATAGTACAGCCCTCATATTCTGTCTGTCTTGGTGGGGAAACCCTGATTCACAGGGGTTCTATGTTGCTTACTGATAATAGTTAGCTCGTCCATGTTTTAACTCTAAGCTTAGTTTTATATATAGCAACACTTCTCTGCTGACATTACTAGCTCTCTTTACTACATACAATATACCTCACAGTTAAAGCAGCTACTGATTATCTTTCAGCAACATTGATAGCTATATTACATCATATCTTAATTTAAAAAAAAAAAAAACAAAAACCAAGCTTTCCAACTTTACCCACATTATTTCATAGACTAAAAATTTGTTACTTCTTGTTTTATCTTTGTTTCTGTACTTGCTTGTGAAAATCCTAAAATAATATACCACTACTTTCACGGAAACAATTTCTATAAAATTACTGTGATCACAAATGTACGTGAAGGTGTCTTCACAAATTCAGAAACAGGGTCTTCACAATTCAGAAAACTCTGGAAAGCAGTATTCAAATTTTCAATAATTTTCAGCCCCCCCAAATCAAAGCATTACCTTCAAATCAAACAGTAAGAATTGAACATAAAAAGAGGAACCAGCACCTGTGTAGTTTCATTTCATTTTCTTGATAAAGCTCAGTCATTACTTTAAGTTTCTGCTGAAGCTTTTGAACCTCAGTTTCAAAACGTTCATTTTCAGACTGCAAGGAAGCTTGTTCACTTTGAAGGTTTTCTATACGTTCTGTCAAATTTAGAGATAATTATATTGGGACAATGCACAATTTACAAAATTAAAATCAAGTCTGTAAAAACCTTTGATCCTCTGTTGATTTAATAATATAAGCAATAATATGTTAATATATTTCAATGAATCATACAAATTGAGAAGCAGTATTGCTTCTTTTGATAGGAAGCCAGCAAATATCCTCTCTACCTGCGACAAAGCGCAGCTCTGATTGTATATCTAGCCTTTGCTCCAAATTGTATAGCTTCTTTGACAACAATGCAGTTTTGTAATTCACAATATAAATTCTCATTTAGGGCTTTTATTATTGTAAATATTCTACTAAAGGAGTAAAGTCAGTACCATCGTATACTCTTGCAGATTTACTCAGACAAGATCTTGCTGAGTAGCCTGAAGGGATAACTCAGATTTGTCAAACTACTTTATCTTTCCAAATTAAAATCAGTCATGTTTCTTTTCCTATTTACTATTCCTATGCCTCTCTTCAAGAAACACAGAAAGCTTCAAGTAAGTATGAATATCTTTATGGGACAGAGTTACAATCAATTTGGAACACACACTAGCACAAAGAGTCAGTTTAAAGGACTATCAAAAACTGAAAAATACAGCTTTACAGAGCATTTCATCACCCAAATAACAAAGCACAAATAGCCAAATGCGATGACTACTCTGCTGGCTGCTATCTATGAAAGCAATAGCTAATTACAGGCTTTAATTTGAATTAAAGTGGCAGTTTTTTCATTTCATAAGGTTTAATTCAGTATGTCCTACACAACAAAGGAAAAAAACAGAGCAAGATGCTTTTAGTTTCAATTGTCTAAATGCAGTATTTTGGATTTTAAGTAGTATTGAGTTTGCACCCATTACAAACTAATTACAATTAAGCTACCCTTTTTAACAGATGGTTTTAAAATTTAGATTACAACTCCACTGTTTCATGTCCAGAAATTATGTAAAGAAGGGATTATTTACTTATTAACATCACTTTGCCCATGTATTTTAAGATTCTATAACTTAACAGTTACAGCACGCTCCAACAGAGTACAACAAAATTTGCAAATGGTGCTTTAGCAACCATTATACATCACTACACTTTAATTGCTTTACCTCTAAAATAAAATATTTAAACTAGCTAAGCAACTTAAACAGGCATTTTAAAAATCAAGTAGAGCTATTAATGCAAACTTAATTCAGTTTTTACTAGAAGTAATACTTACAGCCTGCAAAACCATTTTACAAAAGCAGCATCTTATTCATCTTAAAGGCAAAACAACGTTTAATTACCTGTAAGTTCTCCTTTAACTTTATTTTCATCAGACAGCTTTGAATACATTTGATCTCTTTCCGTTTCCAGGGTCTTTAAACAAGCATTTAACTACAATCAAAATTAAAAACAAACAAACAAGCATTTTAAGATTACCAGAAACTGTTTGCATGAAGAATATCTAAACGCTAAAAGATGCTGAACTCTGTGATACCGATATCTATATGCAATTAAACTTATCATAAAAATTGCATGTATTCCCTCTAGTTTCCCCCCTTCCATCCACAAGTTTCTTAAAATCACATACCTTTGCAGCATAGATCAATTTCTTTACAGTTCGTTTTTGCTGATCATCTGATAGACAGAATAGAATAATACATCACATAAAAAGCACAAAAAGGCTTGTGACAGAGCTTGCTACTATTACTTTATTTTGTTTTTATAAAAAAGCAATCCCCAACATACTATGATAGGCATAGCATATTGCAGGGGGGGAAGCGGGGGGATGCCTATATTCTAGTGCTTTGTTTGCCAATCGATCAGACTCGGAATGCTCATGTTAGAGGTGAGATACCGAATACACACACTGTAAGATTCACTGGGCTGTGCCCTGTGGTATAATCAGCACCAGCATAAAAAGAAGCTGCAGCAAGAAAAAGGAGGAAGAAAGGCTCTTCTGTGCTGCTGTTTTGAGGGGACCCACATCTACGCCCATCGGATTGCAGTTGCTACCATACTGCCTGCAACAAGGAACACCTGCATAAGCAGAAATTAGGCTCTAAGGACCCACAGTGCTACTGCTGGGAGGAGCTTCAGGAAGAAATGAAAGCAAGGTTTCCACCTAAAAATGTTTCAGAATCACTACTTAATACTAACATAGACTAAAGCCATTTTGCAAGAGACTGAGCACCGAGGCTTTACATTGCTCTATGATATGCTTCAGCTATATCCACACACTGCTCAATAGTAGCATAGGCTCTTATTCCGGAAACATCCAAGCATCAGTTAACTGTCCAACATAAATAAGACTGGGTGAGTTTTGAAAATCCAACTTCTACAAAGCTGATCTTTCAACTTTCCTGAAGCTGTATTTCTAAAACATCTATTAAATTAATATTTAAGATGAGAAGCTACACAAGCCATACCTAAATGCTCTCCATTCTCCGTTTCACCCTTTATATCCGTGTCCCAGTGATTATCTTCAGCATCATCATCTTCTCTTATTGCTGAACTCCAGTCTTTCATCTTCAGTAAGTATTGCGTCAGCGACTAAGAAAAAGCCCACACAAAACACAAACAGTAAAATAAATATAAGCAATGAGAACGTAGTTACCATTACAGTTACTTCTTCAGGATTTCTGTTCTTTATTTAGTTCCCTTAGTAGATTAAGTGAGCCCCATATATAGGATTCTAGATGTCTGATACTTTTTCTATTACAACATATATCTGCAGGTCAACAGGTGTGCCCCTGTGAAGACTTTTCAGGTAGCCAAGTATGCATGCTTTTAGCAGGGTTTGTGTATAAGGTACGCTCGTGTAAGAATACACTCCCAACTCCCATGCTCCAAATTCAAAAAAAATGCAAATACTCTATCAGAGCTAAAAGAGTTTTTCCTTATTTAACGTGCTGACTTCCAAGGCTATCAGACTGCTCCACTGTGCTGCTAAGCAACCTTTTTTGCTTAGCAGGAAACAAGACATTAGAGGATGGAGACAGCAAACAAAAACCCAGAACAGCTTAATGCATATTAAGACAAGATGATGTTGTTAGACTTTCTTGGAACTCAATGATTAGCATCAGTGTGAATAATTTGATTCAATGCTAGCTGTCATAATTTACCTTGACTTGACTCTCTTTGTTTTTCAATACTTCTTCTATATCCGCTTTAGACAATTCAGACATCTTAGTTTGTTCATTTAGTTCGCTAAATCGTTCACCCCATCCTTCAGCTTCTTGTAAAAGCTAAAAAGGGAAATACCAGATTAGAATGATTTTGTATTACAACCAAGAATCAAGGATGTATAGCACTTGAGCCTGTTATGTATATTATTTATACATAAGCAGAATTTTAACCTCTCACTCATCACTAAGAATTAACAGAGAGAGACTACAAGACGGTTAAACCTCGAGAGCTGAAAAATAAGACTTCTATGTTATTGTCCAGTTGCTTTAGCTGCAATAGCTCTCCATTGTAATTAGTTGTTAGGATATTTTGAAACATTTATAAGAACAGTTCAGTTAATATTCCGCTCAGTTTAAAAACCCTGATGTGACAATAGCAATGCATATAAAATAGTGTAACAGCTACAAACACTGGGAAATGGACGGAGAGAACACTCATTCCCCAATATGCACACACACTTCTGAAATTGCACCCATGTCTTTTCAACCTAGAAGAGGTTGGTGAGGTAAGGGAAACCAGGAAGCTTTTTAGACAGCTGTTTAGATTCACGTGACTTGCAAAACTGTATTATTTTTCCTACTCTCCTCCATACCTCTAAAAGTAATTTTTCAATTTTATTTTAAAAAACCTTCCCTGTTAATGAAAGTCACAGCAACTGTATGTAATCAGCACCTACTAGTATGTATCTCAGTAATTAACTGTGGTCAACTAAAAAGACAGGTAGATTCCAAGGTTACATTTTACAGACATCCCCTAGTAAAACCTCATTTCACAAAAATACTTTACAGCAGTAAAGGGATTAGTACACTTAAGCACCAGTTCATTAAAAATAACCACTGCAAGATATTAACTAATTAAAACACGCCTTCACATTGTGAGAACGAAATTGAACTGATGCAAATTTCTGTTAAGACAAAACATGCAGTACAAAACATGGGGTACAGTAAAAAAAAAAAGTCTTAGTGTCTGTCAAAAGAATATTGCTTAAAGTTGCACAACAGGCAACCAATGTAAAAGCAGTTAATGTACAGAAAGGAGTAACTAGGTTGAGCAACAAGAACGTAACAGCCAGTTATACTAAAAACCAGAAAATGGTAGTTAAACAGGGGAACTGCCATGCAAATAGACAAGCGAGCACTACTTATCAAAGATAAACTAGAAGGCACAAAACAAAAGGTATGTGACTAGAATTGGATGAACCCCACTTGGCGCAGAACTACACCTTTCAAGCAGTAAAAGCCATGTATGAATTTGCAGCATCATGCAAACTATGTACTACAGATAAAACAAAAATACTCTTTATGCTAATACTGCTCAGAAGACGTACACAGGCAACTACTTTTATCATTAAATGTCATCCTCAAAAGGAAGCTGAACTTAAGAGATTCCTTCTTCATGAAGCCAAAGAGAAAATAAATTGACATGATTTTATATACCTGTAAGAATTACAATAATAAGAAATAGCAAGGATTTGCAATAAGCTAAAGCAATATATATTTCTAATGTTCCTGCAAAAACCAAAGCATTGAAAGTTTGGAGTTCATTAACAGTTCCCTTGTTCAAACTAAAAGGCCCAATCCTCTCTCTGACACATCATAAATCTGAGACAGCACATCTGTTATAATGCTTAAGCTATGATGTGCCAGAAGATTATGACCGATTAGTGCAAATGGACAGAGGAAGAAAGTACTCTAGTTTCTGTGAACAAATAACACCTTTGTTACCTTTTGAGCATAAGCGAAATTCCATCTTTAAAAAAAAAAAGTAAGAAAGAAAAATAAAAAAGGGATATGGATATTCTAATATAGCAAACTAACTCACATGCTTACAACCACCTCATAAAAGAGAATACAAATAAGCAAAGCAGATACTTTCTCTTCTTTCCTTATCAGGTTCCATCAACTCTTATTAGGTTATTTATCTTCTAAAAAGCATAGCAAAATACAATATACACAAATGTTCTCAAATTACTAAAAACTGCAACAAAGCTCAGTTAACAACAAAGTGCAGTAATTCATCCTAAATAATGTGGTTAAGGAGCTACTTTACCCAGGTTATCTTATCTGGAAGGAATGCAAAAAACCCAATTTTCATCTAGGAACGTGGCAAGTTAATTACATCCCGGGAGTTGTTTTTACTGTTTTGGTTTTTTTTTCCTGGTTTTGCTTGATATAAAATGATTGCCTATAAAATGTAGAGTAATTGTCACCGCTTATTATTATCTTACCACAGATACTATTTTTTAATAAAAGGAAAGAAAAAGAAGATTCTTCTCACACACACAAAAATAATTGAATTATTTATGTTTGAACCCAAGAAATTACCAGAGGAAAAAAAAAAAAAAAATCCCTCTCTATTAAAACTTTATGTAATAAATTTTGAGAAGCAGTACATAAGTATACTGTCACATTTGAAATAAAGCACCGAGACCAGACTCTTCCTCCTCACAGAAACAAAAAGCATGTATAGATTAGACAAAAAAGACTGTTGAAAGGAAACAATTCTCAAGCAACTTCATCTCACAGTGACAACACCCAAATATACTGTTTCTCCACTCACAGCATCTAATAAAATTGTCTTCCTTTTTTTTTTGTAGTCACAAACATATACTCCGTCTAAAATTGGAGAAAAATATGAAGTTTTACTGATAAGAGTTGGGCAGAACTGAAATATTCCTCCTGCAGAATATTTTTTATTTCCAGTAACCTTTCTTTTTTCTGAATAAGTAAGTCTGATATACACAATGTTTTGATAGAGAGGACTAAAGCACTCCCCAGCTTTTTATAAGAATGCTAAAAACCAACGGGTCTGTACTTCTACTCCCCACCCCCCCACCCCAAGGTAACTATCAGGTTACTATTCAGACAACAAAGAGATCATCATTCAGACAGGAAAATAACCACATATCCATTAAAACAAATAAACAACCCCAAAACATTCCATAGAACATTTAATGGGCAGAGAGAATATCTTTTTGTTAGAAAAAAAATAGAATAATTTAATTGTAAAAGTAGTTATTGCACAGGACAACTATTGCATATGCTGAACATTTTAAAATAATCAGGCATTCTTTGGGATATGGCTACAGCACTGAGAAAAATGAACAGCTAAAATCTGGGAAGTAACAGTGTCTTTTGTCCCTTCATATTACTTACCTGACTTTCCATGAATTCATCTATAGTGGTACTACAATAAGTTTTTTACCTGTCTTTTGCATACTCTGCAATTTCTTAATTTTCATTTGTTTTCTGGATCAAGTGCATGCATTTTCTCTCTGCCTCTGTAAAGGATCTTAGCTGTGGACTTGCTGAAATCTTTCTGCTTTCCTCCAGGTCTCAGCAAAATTCTTATTAGTCCTGTGTTACCACATGCCCTCTTTCTCATGGAACTCTATGCACGTTTCTCCACAAACTCCAATTATTAAATTTCTTTTAAAAGAGGACTATTTTAGACAAAGATATTCCAACATAAAATCATTTTAAAGCCATATCCTCGTCCTCATTCCATTTACTAGAAGACACAAGGGGTATTAACACGTTGAGGGTGAGCTCCTTGGAGAAATCGTATTTACAGAGTATAAGAAAATACAGTATCTCTAAGGATAACTAGGAAAAACCTACCTGTTTCTCACTTTCCTGGAGATGGCAGTTTTCATCTACTGCATCTCGAATGGCTGTCTTGAGTCTCTCTGTATTAATCTCATATACTTTTAGGGTGGACTTGGCCTAAGTGAAATAAAAAAAGTGTTTTGTTTAAACGTATAGGTGAAGATATAAGTGGGGTCATGACGGTATCATCGGACTTATTCTTAGGTTTTCTAGCTGTGCTACATACGTACTCTCACATTCCCTAGAATTTCAACAGTTTTTGCTGTTTTGCAACACTATATATCATTGTGGAGTAAGAAGGCAAATAAAAGACAAGGTAACTGTACTTCCCAATAAATGGCAATCACTATATGAAATTCGAAGTTACTAAATCAAGTCACACAAAAGTACTAAGCCTTACAAAGTCTTTTGGTTTACACAGCATATTATTTCTGCACCCTTAATAGAAAAAAAATTAAAAGAGTAACTACATGGAGAACAGAGAAATTGCAAAGATTTGAAAACAGAAACCATGAAGATTGGACATACCTCATCAATTTGTGACTGGATAGATTTTGCTTCATTCTCTAAAGACTCCACTCTCTTCTGAACTTCAGCCACCTGAAAATTATTAGTTGTCATATAGCTTCTTCCACAGATTTGACTGAAAAGGTCTAGGCAATTAATAAAGTTATTTTAATTTTCCAACTGAGAAGGTTCTACTGCTGAATCAGTGAAAACAGCTTTTCTTCTTTTGAGTGTTTTCCTTTATGGGTGTCATTTTTCTAATATGCTACATACAGGGAGTATGAGGGGAGATAAAATGGGAAATGTCGTTTTTGTTTCAAAAAACCCAAGGAGAATTGTTTGTCTTCTCCACAGAGAATTTTTTGTGGGATTTTATTACTCTTCACTAAAAAAAAAAAAAAGACAGGATTCTATTTATTCTTACCAAGTTATCATTTTCTGATTGCTTAGATTTTTCTTCTTCCAGTTCTTTTTCTAGATTCTCTATTTCTTGCTTGAGTTCCAAGTTTGACTTGTTCAGTTTTTCATGCATTTCCTAAATCAAGTTGTTTTGACAGTTAACATAAAACATTTGACATTAATTACATATGAACACAAGTATGTTTTAAATATGACTGCAAAGTGCATTTAACAAATTTCACCATATCAAGGATAAATCTCAAAGTACTCTAGAGACTCTTGCACATTAACAAAACCTGTAACGATTAGCTCTATAGGATGTGAGGTGCAGAATGATATACACCTATTTGCTTTTTTGTTACATAAATTTTATAGAGCCCGTTAGGTATTTGATTCACTTTTTTGGAACTCTTTTACAAATATATTCTCAGTTTGGGGGATACTAACAATGTAGTGGTAATTTTTGTTTACAACTATGCTCCAGCAGCCTATAAAATATATTTGAATTAAATCAGATGTGAGAAAAAAATATTTCACGCACTACTCTCTCTCTCTCTCCCTTAGAAACAGGAACAATTTACTTTTTAAAAAATTAAATACTGTCTAATATGCCATTTGCTCTAGTATCAATAATTTTAAATGCAATTGTTACAAAAACTTCTCTTAACTTAAATGCCTCGCTTCTGTGTCATTTTCAGTAACCCAGGACTAAAATAACAATGCTTTCAATTAAAACAATTAAGGTTTTGGGGGTTTGCTTTGGGTTTTCTGTTGTTTTTTTGGTGTGGGTTTTTTTTTGTTTGTTTGTTTTTAATATGGGCAGCATTTTCCTGATACAGTGCATTAAATTGTAGAAATAACAACTTCCATTTATCTTTTTACCTCAAAAAAAGACGTGTCTGTTGATTCTTTCATAATGTTATCATCCTTCAGAGACAATTCTAAATCTTCAAACTGAAAAGGAAATACTTTATGTCAGAATGTATGTAAAGAATTGCTTAAATAATAGCATTAATTTATGATGCTCTAGTCTGAAACACAGCCACCACCCACATATTCACAAATGCACTTTGCTGGAAATCAGGAAAGCCTTAGCCCTAGATGATTATCCCAGTGGTATAAAACAAAGACGTTTGAAAGTTGCTTCCAGTGAAATATATCGTGTTAAGAGTTAAAGGCTGAACTTGCTAACATCTTAATTGCACTTAAAGGCACTGTCAGGAAAAAGCATTTGAAGAATAACTTTAAAAGGTTTTAAACATCTTATGTTTAGATATATACTTTAAATAGTTGATAAATTGAGCCCATTTCTGCAACACATCTGAAAGCAATAAACGAGGACCATTACCTCTTTTTTGCAAAGGCTGAGTTTTTCAAGAATTTTGCATTTCTCTTCAAGTAGTTCAGCAATTTTATTGGCAAGCTGTTTTTCCCTTCCTAAAAAAAGACAGACAATTAAGTGCTGCAACATCCAAATAATTAAAAGGAGGAAAAAAAAAAAGAATAAGAATAAAAAAAAAAATAAAGTCATACTCCAAAGAAACAGTATGAAAAATAAGCTTACCTACATAAAGTCGACTTCTAACCTGAAATAAAAAGAATAAATACTGAAAATGTCTGATCAATTACTCTTGCATAGTATCTGAAAACTAATCTTTTAAGCTGCAGTTCCACGATCAGTTTAACCATGGAACTTAAAAGAAGGAATATAAATACAGGCTGCTGTTAAAAATGGGCAATTGCATCCTCTGCTCTTATGCCCTCCATGTCTGTGTGTTTGCCCTGTCCTTCTCCCACTCTAATTAAACAGAGAGAAGAGGGGAAAGGAGGTTAGTTTTCACCTGAATCACTTTTATAACACACCTCTGTATAGTCATCATATAACCACGACCGCCAACACAAAGTGGCAGCGGACATGCACAGCCAAAAGAGTAGGAAAGGGGAGGGAGGGAGAAGCTCCATGTGCCAGCTCAGACTTAACTTCCTACGAGGAAAAAAACCCACACATTATAATTCGTAACAGTCAGAGCTGCAGTAAGGGTACTACTCGATGGGCATCCTGCCCAGATGCAACTCAGTGGGAAGTGCCAAACCAGCAGCTGCCTCGTGGAGTCTAGTGCCCTAGAATCAAAATCTAACAAACTGCGGGACAAAATCTCTCACAAATGGCCTGGACAAGAGAAGCAGACCTTGGCTGAACACACAAAAACTTTACAACACAGCATTCCTCTCAAGGCTGGGCCTGGATCACGTGCCTAACATACAATGAATCCCTCAGGTCTTCCCTGTTTTCTCCTCATTTAAAGCCATGGGATGGCCAAGGAGTCCAAGTAATAGAAAAAGGGGAAGAAAGTCATAAGCACACCTTATCCTATCATCCCCCCCCAAAAAAAAAACCAAACCCCATTACTTTTAAGTAAGTAACCATTAATTCTTCAAAG